GTGAATAATGAGGGTAACAAATGTATAAATGTGCTTTATACAATGGATGGATGTATGGATTGTGATGAGTTGTATGAGCCTCCAATAAAATGACTTAAAAAAAAAATTCATTCCAGTACTATGGTGGCTATATGCAAGACCAGGCTTCAAAGACTTTAAACGTGCCTAACTATGAAGTTGGACAAGTTCCACTTCAAGTCTTAAAAAAGTTCTCATTCTGGTAGGGGACATGGGGTCATATACACAGTAAGTAATAATAAGGTTTTTAAAATCATAGTTACTGATCCAAAAAAAGCCATGAGAAAATTGAGGACGGGAAAGCAGGTCAAGTTGAGGAGGCGAGAAGGGTGAATGTCAAGAGTGCGGAGAGGAACATCTAGGAGGATTCGTGCAATGGTGGCACCTGAGCTGGGCCCTGGGGCTAGGTGGGCGAGGAGTTCAGGAACTAGTCCAACTGGACTAGAGAAATCGGAGTGGAAGAAACTGAAGAGACGGATGGTTACAAAGCATCACCTCTTGTGGTTCTTACATTTCCCTGGGGATAAAGGGAAGCCAGGGGCAGTTTTTTAAAGAAAGAGCTAAAACCATCAGAAAGGGGTTGTGAAAGAAGATTATAGTTATACGATTATAGGATAAACTTGAAAAATAAAAGGTGATGTGTTAGAAAAACCACCACAAATGCTCCCCATTCCTTGCAGTGAAACTTAGCAGTTCCTCCCATCAAGAGGAGGCTGTGTTGATTTCTTCTCCAGCCTTTGAATCTAGGATTGAACAATATGAATGGGAACCAAGTGGGTACCTGGAAAACACTGGTGTATTGGGCTTTGCCTTCTCTTGCCGCACTTGAAACCTTAAAACCACTGGGCTCCTGAGAACTGAGCAAGGCTGCCAGAAAAGAAAAAGCTACAAGAAGAAATATAAAGTGGTCCAGCCAATAGCCCGCCAAGTGCCTGCCATGTAAGGGAGGGCGCTCTCTATTAGCTGCCAACCAGACACAGACATGAAAGAACTGGGAGATCACTGAGTACCCAGCTCTCCCCACGGTGTCACTTAAGAGACTGCTGGTACCATCCCCAGGAATATGAAAACTGCAAAGACCCAGGTTAGCTGGACTTCTATTGTGCACATAAGGAGTTCTCGGTGGTGCAATGTTTAAGAGTCAGCTGCTAGCAAAAAGACCTGCAGCTCACAGCCACCAGGAGTTCCCCGAGGAAAATGACCTAGTGGTCTGCTCCCAGAAAGATGACATCCCAGGGAAGCTGCGGGGGCCACTCTACTCTGTCCAACAAGACGAGGGTCACTGTGAGTCAGGGGCCATCTGGAAGCACACAGTATTTGCATGCACTAAGTGTGAAGCAAACAGAGATATTAAGCAGGTAACTAGAAAGATACGTCAAGAACTTAGATTCTAACAGAGCTAACTGGGATCACGCACACACAGGTTACAGGTAAGATCGTGAAACTCGGAGAGTTGTTGAAGTTACTAAGAGTGCAGAGAAGGCAGACTGAGAAAAGAGCCAGGGACAAGAGCAGGTGAAAAAGCAGAAGTGTCAGGGATTCACAAGAACTTCAGAAAGTGGGATTAAATGATCCAAGAAAGGGAAGAGAATCATCAGTAATACAAGTGAAACCAAAAAACTTGAAAACACACAATCCTCTTAATGAATGTGTGGAGATTAAACACCAAGATAAAGGAAAGGAAATGTAAAGTTCATTCTGGGAATAACTTGGATAACTTCCTGCTTCAACTAATTAACTACAATTGGCATGGACTCCAGTTAGGAATTTGAAATCACATCAGCTCCCTCTTTAAGAGTTCCTAGTAAAGAGTAACTTAGTGGAAGAGTTCATGTTCTGGGATTTTATGTAGTGAAAATTAAGGGAGAAGGGAGAGTAGTAAAGACACATTCTCCCCAGCCAAGTTCAGTAAGAAGACACTATTCTCCTTTTATGAAATTACACTTCCCTAATTCCCCTCTATCATTAAAGGGCAATTCCTTTAAGGATGATTAGCAGATATTAGGCAGTTAGAACTCTGATGTATACAGTTAGCACTTATTGATTGTTTAAATTAATTGCCTAATTATGCTATTATAGATCTTAAATTAAAAAACCAATTTAGGTGGAGGCAGTGTGTGTGTCATAATGGAATGGTAGGCTTGGAGCTGGAAAGAGAACAGTGGTAGTCCAGATTACTGCCTTCTGTGAATAAAGATGCGGCCTCACTGGTGCTCTGTTCTAACTTTAAAAGCCTCTAACTGTCCAAAATAGCTACGTGCTGCGGCGATGTAGGCAAGGTGTGTCAGGGGACGCCTCCTCCACCACTATACTTCAATGAGCTCTCCTAGCACCTGCCAAGCCGGATCTCTCTCCACTGCTTTTTCCTGTAGACTCCAGAGACTATGGTGCTAAGTGCTTTCTGAGTGATTCTGCGCTTACCCATACATGATTTACTTTTGAAGCATTATTACATGCCTATCTCCAAAGGAACTACTTGGAAATTTTAGGAGCTTATTTTGGTGGAGGACTGTGGATCTCGAAGGCAGTAAATTTGATTACAATGCTAATTTTTAAAATCATTTTATTGGGGGCTCATACAACTCTTGTCATAATCCATACATACATCAACTGTATAAAGCATATTTGTACATTCGTTACCTTCATCGTTCTCAAAACATCAGCTCATTTCCCCCTCCCTCCCCAGTCTCCTCTCCCTTATGAACCCTTGATAATTTATAAATTATTTTGTCATATCTTATACTGTCCAACACCTCCCTTTACTCACTTTTCTGCTGTCCATCCCCAAGGGAGGAGGTTATA